CGTAAACATCATCACCTAATTGAGACCATCAGAACCCTTCTTCTAACAAGTAAACTCCCTGCACAATTCTGGTTTGATACTCTTTTAGCAGCGACTTACCTCAAAAATTGCATGCCATCCAAAGTACTACACTATAAGTCACTTTATGAGCTCCTCTATCTTTCTACGTCCCTCTTCCATCACCTTCGCACATTTGGTTGTCTATCTTTTCCATGAAAAATACCTTTAACATCTAATAAACGTCTATTGAAAGCACCACCATTTATAGCTATAGGCTATGCCATTGATCATAAAATGCTATCACAGCTTCAGTCCTTAAAATAAAAAGTTACCATTTCCCGCCATGTCATTTTCAATGAAGCTTAATTCCCTAGCACCCATTATTCTACACCTACAGTAGATGTGCTTTTCTGTATTCCACCAGGTCTTCTTACTCCCATAACTGCACGAAATACTGTTCCGGCTACATACACAAAGCAAACCAATACTCCTCTCTAGCCCACAAATGTTCCTCTCTTCCCTACAGCCTCAACCACAACCTCTACCTTAGATTCCAGCCTTTACCATCTCATGTTTCTTCAACCCGTACACCATAGTCATGGTCAACAATCTTCCACCCATGCCTCCTACACACCTAATAATCACCCAAACTAAAACCTGTTCACTCAAACGTAAACTATTACTCAACCTCACCTATATTACCCTTCATGCAATAGATCGTAAGACTTTAGTGGCAAGCCATGTCCCATGAATTTCATGCACTTCAAATTCAAGGCACTTGGCAACTTTTCCCCCCGCACTTCATCAAAATATCATAGACTGTATGTGGACTTACAGAACTAAACTTAATTTAGTTGGTTATATTGCTAAACATAAAGCACATCTTGTTGCTCAGGGTTTTAACCAACAATAAGACATCAACTACAACAAGACCTTCAGTCTAGTGATGCAGCTCCCCACCATTAAAATTCTTCTCACAGTAGCCCTACATCATAATTGGCCAGACAAATAGTTGGACATTTAAAATTCCTTTTTTCATGGCTTACTGGATGAAACTTTTTACATGCACCGACCACAAGGCTTTCAAGACAATTAGTATCATAATCTTGTTTATTTGCTTAAAAAGGTTTTATATGGGCTCAAACATGCCCCATGCTAGTGGTATTTCACACTTTCCAATCATCACAAGTTTGAAGGTTTTGAAAATGAGCAAGGCACATCTTTCACTCCTTACATATCAGCACAATGAAATTTATATGTATCTTCTAGTGTATGTTGATGACATATTACTAATCAAAAACAATGCAGCTGTTATTTCCAATGTCCTCAATCACCTCTAATCATCTTTCATGCTAAAGGATCTTGGTCTTGTCAACAGCTTTCCAGGAATTTATATCCAGAAAAATGCTCAAAGGTATGTTCTCACTGAAACACACTATATCACCTCTCTTGTACAACAACTTGTCATGGAAAATTGCAAATCTCTTTACACTCCCTTACCAAAAAAATTAAAATTGGATGTTGATTCTAAACATGAATACTCTCAAAACACGCATTACCACCAACGTACTGGCTCGCTACAATTCTTGACAGTTACAAGATCTGAAATTGCTTCAACGTACTGGCTCGCTACAATTCTTGACAGTTACATGACCTGAAATTGCTTCTGTTGTTAACTTCATTTGTTAACAAATACACAAACCTCTTCTCTATCAATTTCATCTAAGCAAAAGGCTCCTTCAATATCTTAAAGCTACAATTCACTTTGGTTTTCAACTTACCAAAAGAAAATTTCAACACCATGCATCTTAGATGACGATTGGGTGGGCAATATTTTTTAGCGCAAGTCTACAACAGGTTTTTATACATTCTTAGGAAATACTCTCATATCATGGACTATCTAAAAACAAAAAATGGTAGCTAGATCCTCCACTGAAGTGGAGTACTAGGCACTTGTTGCCACCACTATAGATATTAAATGGCGTTGACGCCTTCTTGAAGACTTCAACATATTTCTTAATGCTCCCACACCCATCTATTGTGACAACCTCTACTATAGCCATTGCTTTAAATCCTATCTTTCATGCCCAAACAAAACATGTGGAGATAGATCAGCACTTTGTAAGAGATCATATTCTCTCAAAAGATACTCTGATTAAACACATTGTTTCACAAGATCAGATAGTTGATATTCTTACCTAGGGACTCTCTAAACACCAGTTTTCTAGACTTCGAATCAAGCTCACAATCAATGAGCCAAATTGTGATCTTGAGGGGAGGTAACAACGGTATATTTAAATATAATTATAGATATTCTCATGCCACCATCTCAAAATTTTTCTTTTGTAACTAACAGAGGATCACTTAGCCTCTTCTCTAGAGTTTTCCTTTCATACTACATATATTGCATTTTCTCTTGTTACTGTTTCGGTTAATTAAGAATGAACATTAGAGATAGATAGCAGTTGTTTTTCTCTATCATCTCCTCTCTGTTATTTTCTCATGCCACCATCTCAATAGAGGTAGATAGCAGTTGTTTTTCTCTATTATCTCCTTTCATACTACAACTTCAGAAGATCTTCAACAACTCCAACAGATTCTCAACAATCTCAACAGTTCCTCAATTGGAACAAAAAATAATTCTAAAAAATATTTTTCATTCTCGTTTTTTATGTCAATTCTTTCAATTAAAAAATATATTTGAAGACTAAGTTGATGTAGAAGTTCTCTTCTAGAAAAATATCTCTCGACCAAATTCATAGGATTTAGTATGCGGTAAGAAAATGAACAAAACCTTATTAATTAATCATATTATTTTGATATTTTTGGTAATCTTGAGAGATGCTTCAGCCAATGAACAGTAAGTATTTTTAATTGATGTAGGAAGAATTTCTATTTGCGCCTCAAATTTTTTCCATTAACTTTAGAGCCACATTTAAGGATACTCTTTGAAACTGTATTTGTTATCATAACGAACATCAATAAAAGTTGCAATATTTTATTGCAATCTATGTGGTGCATATTTATATTATTGATTCACTTATTATGATCAATGTTATTGTTATGTTCCTTAGTATAGTATTGAACTTCAACATATTATAATAGAGTTAAAATATAACTTAATGAGTATTTTTATCAAGATGTACTTCGTGTAGAATGGTTATGCTTCTCAAATATTATTCCGTTACCATCCTAATGGAAAGACTTTTTTATGTTTTTCCTTGTTAAGATATGTGATTTGAATAAATGAGTCTCCGTCAATAACTTAAAAGAAAATCTCATGAGGAATTTCTTCCTTTACTTGGAATTTATTTATTCATTTATTTTATTTTTTGAGGGATAAGAGAGATTTTGTGAATTAGAAGACCGTTTCTAAAGTTATCTGATCCATGCTACAAAAAATTATAAGTTATAAAACAAAAAAAAATTATTTTTTAATAATATATTCAATATCAAACTAAAATATTAATAATTGTGTTTACTAATCAACAAAAAATTATTTTGAAGATTGATGCATGCAATGATCATTCTTTCAACATATAAGTATTTTAACAGTCTTAAAATGAAAAAAATTTTGAGTTTGTTGGATTTCTTTGATTGAGATGCACAATTTGACTATAAACATGCAAGATTTATATGTTGTTTGATCTTTCTTTTAATATTCAAAAGTTTTGAATATAATTCAAATTCACGAGATTTATAAAATTCAATTGCGTGCGCACGCACATACACTAACAAATATTATGTGTGGCGACCGCGCGTCCGAACGACGGTCCGAATGGGTCACAATGCAACACATGTTGGCGTGACTGCATCCCGGCCATCTTCCGAATATGTAATCCACCACACATAATATTTTCTCCACACACATGCAAAATAATTACAAATGCATGCTTCGATCACATTATTCTATATTGCTCTGAAATCCAACGGATTCATAGCACTTGTTGAGAAATCCACCTCCCAAACATAACAAAGGTTTGCATAGGCCTATTCATTGGTGCCATATGATTTCCACCCTGCAACACAAAATAAAAAAATAGTACATATATAAAATCAATATTAAAATTTTAGGAAAAAAGGGTAAATAAGATATAATATGAATAGAAATTATATGCAATAAAAAATATGCAGAGAAGGAATCATGCAGCATTAAAGATCAAAATTCCCATACCTTGACAGTAGCAAAAGTCAAATTATTTGCGAATGAAATCGTATATCTGAGGAAGCGATTATATGTCCCATAGTTAGCATATCAGCAACAAAATAAAATCAACTTTTAATATATAAATCATAAAATTCTTTTTACATAAAAAGTTCATTACCCTGCCACTTGGCCACCTGCATGCCATGATCTCCATGGATCTAAAACTAAGTAGCGCAGTGATTTTATCCACTCCAACGAACCAAAAAATGGTATTTGCAAATCGTGATCTCCACTGTGTCAATCATGCATGGCGTAACATAAATTATCAAAATATTCTCTATGAAAATTACAGATTTATAATTATTTTCCAATGTAAACGCTTGTTTTTTATGGTCATTACCTGTATACTAGAGCTCTATAGCCTTTTGTTGTTAAACTTCTGTGATATGGCAATGAGCTTGGTATGCTGAGACGACTGTAATTATATATAGATACATTGAGATTGCATCCATACCATCTTCCCACATTTCCCTATTTTAACATTATTTAAAAATTTCTTTTTTAAAAAACTACAAATTAAGTAGCACTGATCTTATCGGTAAATAAAAAGAAGAGTCACACCTCCTTAATCTGTAAGACATTTCTTACAAGTTGATTGTTTCCCATATATGTATGTATGTATGTATGTATGTATGTATGTATGTATGTATGTATGTATGTATGTATGTATGTATGTATGTATGTATGTATGTATGTATGTATGTATGTATGTATGTATGTATGTATGTATGTATGTATGTATGTATGTATGTATGTATGTATGTATGTAAAGGTTTTATATAAAGGACCTAACTATACAATTATTATCAGGTGAAGATTGAGAGACGAAATCTGGTGAGTTCTCTTCCAGTGATCTGTGAAGGCGTAACATCCCCCCCGGAAATCCATTAGAACATAAGGGTTCCAATATACCAAAAACATTAATTTTTGAAAGAAACTGCGAGCAAATTAATGCATGAAAAAAAATTAGGCTCAAAACATTAGTGTATCAGACATATATAATATATGAACAAAGTTGAGGATGTGACTTACCGCATTAAAGGCTTGGAGATGTGTTTTACAAACTGCACCCTGAGGCTGATCATAATCCTCACCCACACAGTTCTTCTGAATAAGCTGAAATAATGGAAATGAAAATGTTATTAACAAAATATACGTTGATAAAACAAGATGATTAGATTTATTTTAGAGAAGTTTAGAATATTATAAAAAACCTCATAGAGTTCTTCAGAAATAATTCCTAATCCGTATGCATGAGGTACTTGTGAATTTATATCTATTTTTTCGCCTGTTATAGTGTTGCCAATCAGATAACCCTGGGAAAATTCCAAACAATAAAATTAAAAAAAACATGGTGCAATATTAATTTTGTTTTTCATTTCAACTTGAAGCTTTTTAAATCAGTATTAATGTTTCAAAATCCACACCTTAATATTGATTAATGGCTTTTGACCCTGCTCATTTTCTGTCACGCAACATATGATTATGATAGTTAAATTTTCTTCGTGAGCTAAAGAACAAGATTAATTAGTGTTTATAAGAAAATTGGCTAACTAATTACCTTCAACAATGTCATGAGAAACAAGTGTAGCCATCTTCCCACCATAAGAGTCACCACCCATGTAGAAAGGATTCAACATGAAATTTGGATGTCTCAAGAACCACTATATCAGTGAAAATAGAGAGTATGATATATAATGATTTTTCTCATTTTCACAATGTCTCTCCATCATATAAAAAATTAAAGCGTATAATATAAATTAAATAAAGATTTAGAACTATAGTTTTGCCTTTCTGAGAAATTTGAGGATATTTTCTTTAGCCTGAATATCCTCTGTAATATAGTCTTTATCAGTCATGGAGTAGGAGAATCCAGTACCAACAGGCCAATCCAAGAAGATCATATTAGCAATCTGAAAATTTAAAATATTTTATGAGTAGTATTTAATTTTCAACATAATGATCATGTGTATATATTTGTGGTAGTTTAGTTATAGATGGTACTATAATTTCTCACCTTTGTCCAAGAATAAGGATTGACAACTAAGGTTGGAATGTTGCCATCAAAAGTATCAACCTTAAAATGAAGAGGTCCTGTGCACAAGAAAAATTATGTAGGATGCAAATATTAATTGAGAACTATGGATTTTAATCATAGCGAGCATTTATAAAATACATCAAGAATTTTATACATATTTACTCAATTTTTAACTATTTTTTTATCACTTGAATCTCAAGCAAAAAGTAAGAGTTTCTTTTTTATATTTCTCTAAAATAATAGAAAGTCAAACAACAATAATGCTTTCATAAATAAGAAATTTGAACGTCCCCAACTAAAACCATTTATTACCCATCTCCAGAGCCAAACCCACAAAACCCGAGCAGCCCGGCCCGCCAGATAGCCATAGGATGAGAGGGTCCTCCTCGGGTTTCGAATCCGACCGCACAAAGTAATAGAACAACTCCGCTCCGCTGTCGTCATCTATAGACACATACCTTTACGCACAGAAACACTGATTAGTCAATGGGGGAGAAAAATACGGCAAAGATGAACGACGCATCTTTAAGAGACGTGAGAGTAACAAGAAAAAAAAGTTATAATTGGATATTATAAAATGATTAAATAGTAACAAAATATGAACTATAAAATTATGATATTTTTTTTTTTTTGAAAAAATTACATGCATTATATAACAGCTTTCTCCCCACCCTGTTACATAAATCAGCATTACTATAATATTAATAGCTGTAATGTATTGTTAACCAAGCTTTAAAATCGGCACAAATGAATTGAATTTGGATTGGAATCAGCTCGTGACTCATTATTGATACATCATCAATAAATTCCCATCATCCTACATGAAATTCGATGCTTGACACGGATCTTGAGAAAACAATTTGAGCAAAAAAGTCAAACTTTGACTGAAAGTCTTTTTGAGCTCCGATTTTCAGCAAACGTTTAGTCAAATTGATCGGTTCAATGAAACGTACCCAATGATACCAAAATTAGTCTAATCCAAATCAAATCAAGCTTAGATCAAACCATTAAACCACTTTTTGAAGCTTTCTAGGCATGTTTGAAAAGGTCGAACGATTGTCAAATCTAGTAAGTTATAGTCAAATCTAACAAATCTAAGATCACTCAATTCTGACATTGTTAAGACACTCAAATGTCCATGAAACGTAGTATGATTGTGGAAAATCTTTCTAGATCGTCCGATCATAGTGGTTCATTTTCCTTCAATAATTGTAAACGGGACGGGACTATGGGGGTGGGAAGAAGTTAGAAGAATGAAAAAGAGCTTGAAGCTTGCATAAGAAACTGAAGTCTAGCATCATTCCTGCCATTGTAGACATTCACCAACCATTGTCTACCACCACTTATCAGTCGTCGTCGATCACCATCAATGTCGCTCATGCCTTGTGACAAGTTCATCCATGCACCAACGTTGTTAACTTAAGAGATTGTGTAACCATTTCCCACCCATGGGACAAGAAATTGTAATTATAATAACCAAGTTATTGTAGATCTCTTCAACTGGGTCATGACCCATGATTTTTTTCCTTTTCAACTTTTGTTGTTTTAACTTATTTTTTCTTTTATTTGAGTGTGTGTTAAATTCTCGTGTAACGTTAAGATGATAATCTATTACGCTGTCTCTGTGAATCTTCTAGCCCACCACAATTACATTCAATTTCGAGCTAGCTCGGCTCAAAATTGAATGGAGCTTGATTTGGCTCGAAATTAAAATAAGTTGGCTCAAATTTGAGTTATTCAGATCCATTCCATCTTGAAATTGGCTTGATCTGGCTCGAAGTCAAAACTAGATGGCTCAAATTGAATTAATTTGTATCTGTTCAAGCATGAAATCAATTCATAGCTCGTTATATTCGATTTTATTTAGTATCATATATAAGTTTTAAAATTAAAATAATTTGAGCTGGTCTGAAGACAATTCAAGTTGATATGTGTATGGCTTGTAATTAGCTAAAAAAATCGATCTGAGATTTTGGCTCATAGCTCGGCTCGTTCACTTTGATCTGATCTCGATCTAAGCTAAAATTCAAATCAAATTTCTGAGTGATTAACAATATTCAAGCTAAATGCACAACCGTAATTAGGGCTCTCAATTAAACAGTTTCTATATTATTATTCCTTTTCTTTCTCTGTTATTCTATCTTTATTCTACTTTGTTTTTAAATTCCGCTTAATTCCTAAGTATTTACGAAGCTAACAGCTAAATATGAAATATGCCATCTAATTAGTTTTTACTATATTCAACTTTTTTTCTTAAATTAGAAAAGTGACAATTCTTATGTGATACATAATACCAGACTAAATGAAGTTTACTAGACATATGGGTCATTAGTTCCAAGTGTTTAGCATATATATATATATATATATATATATGCAATATCTTAACTGCTGCATAGTAGACGGTTTATATATATTCATGTGATAGACTCATTATTTAATGAAAATAGCTTCCTCTCTGCTTCACTCGTTTCTTCTCTACGCATCTCCTTTGCTTTCATGGTATAGGAGCAGATCATTCTGAAAAACTCATAAACAATTTGTTTCTCCTCTTTCTTTCTTCTTTCTTCCCCCCCTAAGAATCTCTTCACCTTTCAGTTCGTCTGTGGAAGGCTGACGCCCATAACTTAACTTGTTGTTATTGAAACCATTATTGGTGTCGCTCTCTGTCTTTCTTGTAGTCTCTTTTTTAATTTTTTTTTTTTGACCGGCTTCCTATGTTGAAGCTTGTCAACAATGGAAGAATATGATACCTTATGTTAGATGGGTTAGTAAATCTCAGAATCTCTGAAAATTTCATCTCTCCCTACATTAAATTTCTCATGGCCAACATAAAGTCCATGATTACCAATACACCAACCATTGTCTACCACCACTTATCAGTCGTCGTCCATCACCATCAATCACTCTCTGAGGCTAATGGCTTCTTGGGTTTTATTGATGGTACTATTCATACTCCAGCGCCTATGGTTCTTAATGTTTCGGGCATTTCCTCTTTCAATCCTGCATACACAACTTAAGGAAGTTATTAATCAAAACTTGTCGGCTGCATTTCACTCTACCATTTCAGCCGCTATTTTGCCTTGTGTCTTGAATGTTGGAGCTGGTCATGAAATTTGGACAGCATTGGAGAAGCGCTTACAAGCCACCAATCACTTCCGTGTTATTCAACTAAAGAAAGAACTACACAATGTCTGAATGCAAAACCTCGTTATAACTCAATATCTTATGCAAATCAAGGCTATTGTTGATAACATATATGTTGTTGGCTCCCAAGTCGATATTGAATATGTTATTCATTATAACTTGATTGGTCTTCAGGCATCTTATCTTCCCTTCAAGGCTACGATACGAGTGAGATCCACTCCCATAAGTCTGGATGAGTTATATGCCTTACTAATTAGTGAAGAAATTAATCTCTCCACCGAGCACAAATCTGCCTCTGTTGATCCTGATCCGCAGTTGGCCATGTCTTCTTCCAAAACAAAGAAAAAATACTATAAAGGCAAAGGCAAAAACAACAATGTTCAATCCAAATAACCAATTGAGGCTCCAACTACGCACTCTAAAGCTCATGGCTTGGTCTCCTATCAAATATCTAATAAATAGGAACATCTTGCATCTCATTGCTGGCACCATCTGAATCATTACTATCAACCGAGAAACTTCTATTCTCCTCCACAAACCAACTCTCATACAACCTATATTACTTCTTCTTTCTCATCCAATTAGTCCGATTAACATGTTGATACTGGGGCAACTTTCCATCTCACTTTTGATTACAGTAAGGTTAATCGACCTGAACCATATCAAGGGAAAGAAAATTAAGGTCGGTAATGGTCATACCGTCCGATAGGTTGATAATTTAAAATTGTTATTTTATATATTTTTGTATTTTATATGATAAAAATTATACTTTGAAAAATGTTTTATGTTGTTTTTGAAGGTTTTAGCAGGGAAAGGGAAGAATAAGCATCGAACTTAATCAGATTGAAGATTGGAGACAAATTTTGCCATTGGGTGCCTATCTACTGGAGTCTAGGCTTGAAAACTCTCTTAAACTGCGCAAAAATTCCGAGAAGACAGAAAGTTGACGCTGTTCATTGGGCGCCTAGGCACTCTTATTGGTTCCTAGGCATCTCATTTGCAACTTGTGGGAGGGTATTAGGGTCACTCCACCATCTTTAACCATTATTATTCCAAGCGGTCACAAAGGAGGAGTGCAGGCAAAATCCCAACTAATTCGGTTATTAAAGATTTATTGCTTGAACCTTATATTAAAGTTACACTATATATTCATCAATATAATTATGATGTCAAAACAAAATTAATCACAATACGAACAATAACTTATCATCGGGACATATTTCTTACCTATTTACATATCTCACCTAAACCTTCATCTGTACACACATAGCACTCAAATCCTTAATATCACATAAATAATACTACTATTATCAACTTTTAAAAGTAAAATATATATATTTTTATTCATAAATTTAAAACACCAATGTCATGCACAAAAAAATAAAAGTTTCGATATATAAATATAGAAAACTTGCGTGCTTTCAAAACAAGTCACAACCACTCAAACAATAAAACTCCGCTATTTTTATGCTACGGATAGGGCTGTCAAAAAAACTTGTTGTTTATGAACAATTCATGTTCAGCTTACCAAGAAGATCATGTTCGATTCATTTGATGAGCAAATGAGACGGAAGAGAACAATTTTTTTCGTTCATTTTATAAAATAACTAAATACGAACAGTAATGTGTTTGCTAGTGTTTGAATTGTTATTGTTCGAAATATAAAATAATTATATATAAAAAATTTATCTTTTCAAAACAAGTCACAACCACTCAAACAATAAAACACCGCTATTTTTATGCTAGGGATAGGGCTGTCAAAAAAACTTGTTGTTTGTGAACAGTTCATGTTCAGTTTACCAAGGAGATCGTGTTCAATTCATTTGATGAGCAAATGAGACGGAAGAGAACAATTTTTTTCGTTCATTTTATAAAATAACTAAATACGAACAGTAATGTATTTGCTAGTGTTTGAATTGTTATTGTTCGAAATATAAAATAATTATATATAAAAAATTTATCTTATTTTAAAAATAATTATATATTCTAAAAA